CCAGCAGGTCGAGGCTGCGGTGGCCAGGAGCGTGCCACTGCACTCCAGTCTGGGTGATAGAGTGAGATTCCAACTCAAAAAAGAAAAGAAAACTGAGCAAAAAGTATACCACACCTATTTTCAGAAATTAGGCAATAGGTAGCACTGTAATTCCTGAGAGAAAGAAAAACTCTTCTTTATTTTAGCTTTATGCCAAGAGGTAATTTTCAGACTATGGTGTAAGAAGACAGTGAAACATAGTCCAGTAGTCTTACTAAGTTGAGACAAGACACCAGGATGGGGACTGGACACCATGATGGGGACTTACTGAGTTAAGACAAGACATCAGGATGGGGAAGGAAACTAGAATTTGCTGGGCAGAGTACCAGAGAGGGAGCTCTGCAGAGAAAGAACTCAAGAAATTTGCATGACAGAATACCAGTATGTACACACATAGGGTGAAACTCCACCAGGTCAAAGAGCAATTTCTAGAGAAAGAGCAATTATAGAGAAGCCGTTAGCTAAATAATTATTAGAGCTCACATTGGGCTGGGAATTATTTAAATTCCAACCAGCCAAAATAGGAAGCCCTGGTTGGATATACAGAGCATTCAGTGGAGATCCCAGAAGGATCAGACCTTAGTAGTGGGACTAAACTAACCCCCAAAGTATAAACTACTCTAGATCTGCCCTAACAAATCTTAAAAACTGATCTGCAAAGCTGGGCATGGTGGCTCAAGCCTATAATCCCAGCACTTTGGGAGTCCGAGACAACAGGATTGCCTGAGCTCAGGGGTTTGAGAAAAGCCTGGGCAACTTGGTGGGACCTCATCTCTACATTAAATCAAAAAAATAAGCCAGGGGTGGTAGCATGCACCTATAGTTCCAGCTGCTTGGAAGACTGAAGCGGAAGGATTGCCTGAGCCCAGCAGGTTGAGGCTGCAGTAGCCATGAGCATGCTACACTCCAGCCTAGGCAACAGAGTAAGATTCCAACTAAAAAAAAAAAAAAAAAAAAAAACACACGAAAAAAACTGATCTGCAAGCAATTTAACTGTCTGCCAAAACAATGTCTACCCTTCTTCAAGGGATACAACAACAACAATATCCAGCACCCAATATAAAATTACTAGACATGAGAAGAAGCAAGAAAAGTGTGATCCATAATCACAAGAAAAACCAATGAATAGAAACAGACTCAAAGGTGATAGAATTAGCAGATAAGGACGTCAAGACAATTGTTACAAATGTGTTCAAGGACTTAAAAGAAAACATGAACATTAGGAAAGAAATGAAAGCTATAGAACAGAACCACGTCATGTGTGGTGGTTTATGCCTGTAATCCCAGCACTTTGGGAGATGGAGGTGAAAAGATTGCCTGAACCCAGGGATTCAAGACCAGCCTGGGCAACTTGGCAACACCTCTTCTCTATAATAAATCAAAAATCAGCCAGGCATGGTGGCACATGCCTGTGGTTCCAGCTACTTGGAAGACTGAGGCAGAAGGATCACCTGAGGCCAGCAGGTTGAGGCTGTGGTGGCTGTGAGTGTGCCACTGCACTCCAGTCTGGAGTCAGAGTGAAACTCTGCCTCAAAAAACAAAAATTTGATCGGGCTTGGTGGCTCAGCCTGTAATTCCAGCGCTTTGGGAAGCCGAGGTGAGTGAACTGTCTGAGACCACTGGTTCGAAACCCCCCTGGACAACTTGGCAAGACCTCATTCTACAATAAATAAAAAAAACTAGCCGGGCATGGTAGTGCACACCTGTAGTTCCAGCTACATGTAAGGCTGAGGCAGAAGGATTGCCAGATCCCAGCAGGTTGAGGCTGCGGTGGCTGGGAGCATGCCACTGCACTCCAGTCTGGGCGATAATGAGACTCCAATTCAAATCATTTTTTTAAATATAAATAAAACAACCAAATAGAGCAGCTAGAAATAAGAAATACAATATCTGAAAGGGAAAATTTATTGGATAGGATTAATGGCATGTTAGATCATACCAGTACTGCAGAAGCAAAGACCAGTGAATGCAATAGAAACTATACAAAGTGAAGCACAGAAAGAAGCACGGAAAGAAAAATAAGCAGAACCTCAATGACTTGTGGGACAATATCAAGCAGTGTAACAAACCTGTACTTGAAGTCCCAGTAGTGGAAAAGAGGGGGCAGAAAAAATATTTGTAGAAAGAGTGGCCAAAATTTGTATTATAATTGTTTGTCATTAAAAATTATCTCCGGCCCAGTGCAGTGACTCATACCTATAATCCCAGCACTTTGGGAGAGTGAGGTAAGATGATTGCCTGAACTGGCAAGTTCGAGATCAGCCTGAGCAACTTGGTGAGACCTCATCGCTACAATAAATAAAAAAAAATTAAGCCGGGCTTGGTGGCTCAGCCTGTAATCCCGCGCCTTTGGGAGGCTGACGTGAGTGGATTGCCTGAGCCCGCGGGTTCAAGACCCGCCTGGGCAACTGGTGAGACCTCATCTTTACAATAAAAAAAAAATTAACCAGGCGTGGTAGCACGCACCTGTAGTTCCAGCTACTTGGAAGGCTGAGGCGGAAGGATCGCCCAAGCCCAGCAGGTCAAGGCTGCGGTGGCTGGGAGCAGCCACTGCACTCCAGCCTGGGCGACAGAGTGAGACTCCAACTCAAAAAAAAAAAAAAGATTAGCTGGGCATGGTGGCGTGTGCCTATAGTTTCAGCTAATTGGAAAGCTAAGGTGGAAGGATTGCCTGAGCCTAGCAGGTCGAGGCTTCAGTAGCCAGGAATGTGCCACTGCCCTCCAGCCTGGGTGACAGAGTGAGACTCCAACTCAAAAAAAAAAAAAAATTTATCTCATGGGAGCCATAAGAGAAGATTATTATTTCACCCATATCGTTTAAGATTAATTATATGAAAAATTATTATTTTGGAGCAGTCATTTGAATTCATAGCAAGTAATCATGTGAATAGATTAACATTTTCAGCAGAAGGAACAGAAAGGAAAATAAATAAATGTTGCAGTTGAAGTGGTTGGTAAACACCAGAATTGAATATTACAACTTTCTTGTTATATTGTCAATATGAATTGGAGTATATCTAATTACAGCAAAGTATTCTTCTTCTTTTTTTTTTTTTTTTTTTGAGTTGGAATTTTACTCTGTCGCCCAGGCTGGAGTGCAGTGGCACACTCACAGCCACTGCAGCCTCAACCTGCTGGACTCAGTGATCCTTCTGCCTCAGCCTTCCAAGTAGCTGGAACTACAGGCACATGCCACTAGGCCCAGCTAATTTTTTTTTTTTTCCTAGAAATGAGGTCTCGCCAAGTTGCCCAGGCTGGTCTCAAACCCCTGGGCTCAGGCAATCCTCTCACCTGGGTCTCCCAAAGTGCTGGGATTATAGGCGTGAGCCAGCCAACAGCAAAACATTTTTACCAGTTCCTCGGAGTCTGAGTTGACCTTATTTGCAATAAAAGTAAATTGAATATTAAGTAGTAATATATGCTAGGAATAGATTTCTGGTTTTTGTTATGAAAATATTTTGTATTGTTACTTAGCTTCAGAAGAACTGACCATTGCTGGCATGACTTTTACAACTTTTGATCTCGGTGGACATGTTCAAGGTAAGATTCAATTACTTTTATAGTCACTTTGTTTTATTTTAACTTAATACAAATGTGGCCATTATGTTCCAGTGCAGGAAATCTAATTCTATTTAAGCAAGGCCAGAGTAAACTTAAAATTTAGAGATTATTACCCCCAGATAAATGCTTTACAAAACAAAGGATAGGCTAGGCGCGGTGGCTCATGCCTGTAATCCTAGCACTTTGGGAGGCCAAGGTGAGAGGATTGCGTGAGCCCACGGGTTCGAGACCAGCCTGGGCAACTTGGTGAGACTGCATCTCTACAATAAATCAAGAAAAATTAGCTGGACGTGATAGCACATGCCTGTGGGGATATGAAACATGAAGAGGATTTTAGCCCCAGACGGTTTAGTAGAACAGTAAGTTTAGTAGCCCCAGAAATTTTAGAAGATAGGTCAGTCTTTCTAAACTTATTGCAGACATGTACACAAATGCACTGAGTGCTATGAAGCAGAATCAGTGCACTTCTACTGGGAGTGGCTTCCCAGGGGAGGTAGCAAGATGTACACTGGGCCCTGAAGGAATTACTCATGTGCAAATAGGGATGGCATAAGCAAAAGCTCAGAGGTGGGAGAATACTAACAAGGTTGGATTTGGCAGGAGTAAAAAGAATGAGAAGGAGAATAGTGAAAAATAAAAACCAGAAGAAGTAAACTGGGACTAGAATAGAGATCCTGAATGCCAGGTTAATGAGTTTGCCCTTTATTTTGTAGATAATAGGTTAGTCACTGAAGATCTTTTTGCCAAGCAGAAACATGTTCATAACCTGATTATGACAGTGAGCAGAGAGAAGCAGAGAGAATGAAGTTCAATTTTACTCATATACTTTACCCCAAAAGCAATTCAGACTTAAATTGATCAGGAGTATCATGAAAATCACCCCCGCCCGCCCCCCCTTTTTTTTGAGTGGGAGTCTCACTCTGTCGCCCAGGCTAGAGTGCAGTGGCACACTCACAGCCATCGGGCCACCACAGCCTCAACCAGCTGGGTTTGGGCAATCCTTCCTCTTCAGCCTTCCAAGTAGCTGGAACTACAGGCGTGCGCCCCATACCTGACTAATTTTTCTTTTGATGTATTGTAGAGGTGAGATCTCGCCATGTTGCCCAGGCTGGTCTCAAATCTGTTGCCCAGACTTGTCTCAATCTCATTCCTCTCGCCTCCGCTTCCCAAAGTGCTGGCATTACAGGCATGAGCCACTATGCCCGGCTAAGAACTGGAATCTTGGTGGACCTTGTCTGAGACTTCATTTCTATGTTATTTTCAAGATAGATCATAAAACTCAAGTCAGAAAAACTGTTTTCTTCTCTAAAAAAGAATGTCATGGGAAAAAAATTACCCTTATGGTTTCAAAGACTTTAGTTAATTATTAACATTTGAGTTTGTTTTCTGTTTGAATAGCACAATTTGCTTTTATTATTTTAATTTAATAGGTCTATCCCTGGCACTAATTTCTTTTTGTCACTGATTCCAAATTTATCACTGGCTAAAAAACCCAATTAACTAGAAAGGTCAAAAAATGAATACTGCAGATATGTAATTATATTGTAGTAATTTTTTACTGCTAATGTTTTAGATTTTTATAGTAGCAGTTCTCCAGTGAACTTAACATGTATCATTATCCAATGGTGGCAAATATTCTTAAAAATAAAAATTTAGAGAGAGTATTTTACTTGGCCACAATCAAGAAAAGCCTGAAATTTCTTCTGGGAAGATTTTGGCCCCACTGGGGAAGAGATAATCTTCAATACATAGTGAAGTGGGAGTAGCTAAAGGTTACTGCACTTGGTGTCTTATTGGACTCTTCAATCAAACCATCTGCTAGGCTTGACCAACAAACAAAATCTAACTCCTGGTTGTTTTTGTTAGCTCGAAGAGTGTGGAAAAACTACCTTCCTGCTATCAATGGCATTGTATTTCTGGTGGATTGTGCAGACCATGAAAGACTGTTAGAATCAAAAGAAGAACTTGATGTAAGTTAAATGATTAAAACTAAGTACAGTCGAACACTGGTAAGCCTGAAGAAATAGGTTGGAGATATAGGTATCAGAATAGAGCTTTTCTGCAGTCTTTGATGAATTTTTTGGCAATTTTTTCGCCCAGTGATTACTTTAACTAATGATTACTTTACTTAGAATGTAGAGGGAGTAGCTTCGAATAATTGTAGCTATTGAGGAAGTACTAACACAGACATCCTTCCTGAAGACTTAAGGAGCTTACCCTGTATAGAGTGTGCCCCTCTAGTGTATTTTATGTCCTCTATATTCCTGGAGTGGATTGATATTGAGTCCCTGATCCTCATAAGATGCCGTTTCTTCAGGAGTGGGTCACAACCTGGGAATGGTAGCCACAACCTGGGAATGGTATGACATGCAATCTTTGACACGACTCTCAGGCATGAGCAGTTGCATATGTAGCTGCCTCCTCTCCCATTTTTCAGGTCAGAGTGGGGCCCAATAGCAGCAAGCAAGGCCAGCACTAGATTTGAGATCACAGAGTATACAGGTCCATGATTTGATTGGAGGTTGACCCGACCATGCCTCTACCCAGAGCAGACAACAAATACTTGTTTATGTGGAAAAATCCAGGTAGGTTCTGTGCTTATGGAACAGGGTCAGGGAACGCCTGAGTTTCTACTTGTGCCAGACACTGTGCATATTACTTCATTTAATTCTCAAACCAACTTTATAAGGTAGGTACTACGGTTCCGAATTCTCTCTGCCCTTCAGTGAGGCTAACTTGTCCAAAGTCACAACTCAGAGGCAGCAGGACCAGAAGTAAAACCGGTTCTATCCACTTCTAGGCTGTTTGCTTTAGGCACTCTATGTCATTATTTTACATAGTGAGCAGAGTGAGCATTTACAGAAAGAGTCTTGGGGAGACAGAAGAATTGAGCTTATGGTTTCATAGAGCTCACTTTAAAATGTGGGAAAAGTTTGCCAAAGAAAGTTGGCATGACATGATATGGTAGAGAATGAGTCCTTGATTGTTTCATCTAACAAAATAAGCTTTTTGGATGGTTTCATATCAACTTCTTCTCTTTTGTGTTGTTTTGCATTTTTTAGTCACTAATGACAGATGAAACCATTGCTAATGTGCCTATACTGATTTTTGGGAATAAGATTGACAGACCTGAAGCCATCAGTGAAGAGAGATTACGAGAGATGTTTGGTTTATATGGTCAGACAACAGGAAAGGTAAAACAAAAAAAATGGCAGGTGTGATTATTTAATTCTGCAGTATAAATGTTTTCTTAAATTTCTATTGTCCAACTACATAAAATTCATTATTTTTTTTCTTAACAAAACTATTTTCTGACTGGACATGGTGGCTCATGCCTATAATCCCAGCATTTTGGGAAGTTGAGGTGAGAAGATTGCCTGAACCCACATGTTCGAGACCAGCCTGGGCATCTTGGTGAGACCTCATCTCTACAATAAATTTAAAAAATTAGCTGGATATGGTGGCACATGCCTATAATTCCGGCTACTTGGAAGGCTGAGATGAAACGATTGCCTGAGCCCAGTAGGTCGAGGCTGCAGTGGCCATGAGCATGCCACTGCACTCTAGCCTGAGCGACAGAGTGAAACTCCAACTCAAAAAAACCCCACTTTTCTTAAATAAATTTATACATGTGAGTCTTTTTAATGTCTTCATGTCTTTTTATCACGAAATGAAACCTTTTCTTGGTGATAACAGGAATGTCAGAGAGCAGTTTAAGGCTCATGTGCTTATGAGAAACTAATTAAAGCTTTCAAAATTTTTCTTAACACACATTTTCAGATTTGAGTGTTTACAAATACAAGAAGGCTGGGTGCAGTGGCTCAAGCCTGTAATCCCAGCATTTTGGGAAGCTGAGGCTAGAGGACTGCCTGAGCCCACAGGTTCGAGAGCCACCTGGACAACTTGGTGAGACCTCATCTCTACAACAAATCAAAAAATTAGCTGGGTGTGGTAGTGCGCATCTGTAGTTCCGGCTACTTGGAAGGCTGAAGTGGAAGGATCGTCTGAGCCCACTTCATGCGGAACATGCCAGTGCACTCCAGCCTGGGCAACAGAGTGAGACCCCAACTTAAAAAAAAAAAGAATACAAATAGTGTGTTTAGCTCCTGAGTTCACCAGGGATTAGTAAGGTCCTAGGAATATTTTACAGTTTTCAGAAGATATTATTTTTAATAAGCTTTAAGAGGTATTTTTTTCATTCATTTTGACTAGTATTTGTTTAGGGAAGGAGGAACATTAGTACTGAAAGATTCCAGATAAACGGTGGAAAAACCCCAGAGTTTACAAACAAAATTTTTTTGGTTCATATATACTATTTCAGGGTAAAGAAATACTGTAGCAGATAGCAGGAGATTCTTGTTAGACTAAGTAGACCTTGGTTTTCTCTGTCTTTTTAATCAGTTGGCGCCACATTAATTTTAGGAAATGCCTTGCTTGATCATCAGCCTACTGAGAATGTTTGACTTTATTATTTTTATTATTATTATTATTATTATTTGAGTTGAAGTCTCACTCTGTTGCCCAGGCTGGAGTGTAGTGGCACACTCACAGCCACCACAGCGTTGACCGGCTGTGCTCCAGCGATCCTTCCACTTCATCTTCAAAGTAGCTGGAACTATAGGCGTGTGTTACCACGCCTGGCTAATTTTTGATTTATTGTAGAGACAAGGTCTTGCCAAGTTGCCTGGGCTGGTCTTGAACCCGTGGGCTCAGACAATTCACTTGCCTCAGCCTCCCAAAGTGCTGGGATTACAGGCTGCGCCACCAAGCCTGGCTGAATATTTGTCTTTAATATTAGTGAAGTCAATTTGGATTGTTTTCTTTTCTTTTTTTTTTTGAGTTGGAGTCTCACTCTGTCGCCCAGACTGGAGTGTAGTGGCACACTGTCAGCCACCACAGCCTTGACCCCGCTGGGCTCCAGCGATCCTTCCGTCTCAGCCTTCCAAGTAGCTGAAATTACAGGCGTGCACTACCACGCTCGGCTAATTTTTGATTTATTGTAGAGATGAGGTCTCACCAAGTTGCCCGGGCGGGTCTCGAACCCGTGGACTCTGGCAGTCCACTCACCTCGGCCTCCCAAAGCGCTGGGATTACAGGCTGAGCTACTGAGCCCAGCCTGGATTGTTTTCTAAGAAAGATTATTTTTATTCTTGTGTGCCTTACAAGCTAACCTCTTTCCCACTGAGTGACCATCCTGTCCTAAGGTAGAGTGAAAGAAGACTTCTTGTGCTCTTAGAGGACTTAGATACCAAGCAACCATGACTTTATCACAGCTATGGCTTTAACACAGTAACCCTGTGTTCTAAAAGTAGAAATATAATTCTGCTGGGGAGTGGGACTTTTATTTCACAAAACTCCAACATAATGTGTCTGTTCTCTTGTAGGGCAGTGTATCTCTGAAAGAACTGAATGCCCGACCCTTGGAAGTTTTCATGTGCAGTGTGCTCAAAAGACAAGGTTACGGAGAAGGCTTTCGCTGGATGGCCCAGTACATCGATTAACATTGACCCGCACTGGTTCCAGGTCTCAACATTCAGGCCTACTCAGAGATTTGATCACTCAACATGCATAACTTGAATTCAATAGACTTTTGCTGGTTATAAAACAGATTTTTTTAGATTATTACTATTATATCAACTTAATTTGAGTAAGAATTGAAAACTGATTCAAGTAAGTTTGAATATCACAATGTTAGCTTTCTAATTCCATAAAAATAATTAGTTTTTACAGTTTATAATCTGACATTACCCCAGCGCCATTTATAAAGAGCAACTTTCCAGCAGTACATTTGAAGTGCTTTTTAACAACATGAAACTAAATATAAACCATATTTAAAAGCTCATCATGTTCAATTTTTATGTACTTTTTTGGAACTAGTTTTTAAATTTTAGAGTATATGTCCACCTCTCTTAAGTGTACAGTTAATAATTAGCTTATAAATGATTGCATGATGCCTTACAGTTTTCAATAATATTTTTTCTTATGCAAACGTCATGCAATAAAACAAACTCTAATGTCTGGCATCCTTGTTGGGCAAATGTTTCATTTAAATGTGTCTTATATAGCTAGTATACAATGAAAATGTGAGCACTTAATATGACATATCGGGGCTTGTTAGGGAAGGAAAGTCTTTCAGAATATTTAAAATAATGTTTAAGCTCCTCAGGCTTTTGCATTTGCCATAAGATAGTTGTGGTGAGTTGCAGCTGAAACCACCTTTATCTCTGAATCATATATTTTTATCAATAATGCTGCCATTACCAGTGCTGATGGGGTCTGTGGCCTAGTCTCTGTGGGATTAGCCTTCTGAAGAAAAGCACATCTGCAGTACACAAGGCTGATTCTCAGTTTGGTAGGCCCTATAGTTCCATCCCTATTGTCTAATTCTGAAGTGCTCCAGTCTTATCGGTGCCCTTGGTAATCTGTGTCTCCTCATGAAAAGTAGTGACAGGTGCCAATCTCTCCACATTTCAGAGGTACTCCCCAGCCTCTTTGTATTTAATGGTACTCCTTAGGGCAAACAACAAGTAGGATCTTGTACACATTTTCATTGTAGAGACCTGCGTATCTGAGGAAAAAGAAAACTTGTTCTGTTTCAGTTGTCACTTAGATGTATGGGGATTTCCTTTCTACTCTACAGCTTTTTGCATTCATTTCTAATTTTCTTTTTTTGTGTGTGTCTGCTCTCAGGTAGCTCTTACTTTATAGCTCAAAGACTTTTGTTTTCAGATATGCTTGTCACGTGATAGCAACCTATGAGCCTCACTGGTAGATTTACTAATACAATTTTAGTTAGTTTTCCAAAAGCATTTTAACTTCCTTAGAAATTGAATTTTTTTTCCATATGTTTGAGATTCACATCATTAGTAAGATAAGATAAAAGGTAAGTGCCAAAAATATATTCTTAAAGATTTTCAAGGCTGAACATGGTAGCTTATGCCTGTAATTCTAGCATTTTGGGAGGCCAATGCAGGATGATTGCTTGAGCCCAAGAGTTTGGACAACATAGTGAGACCTCATCTCTACAAAAAATTTAAAAATTAGCTGAGTGTAGTAGTGCATTCCTGGAGACCCAGCTACTTGGGAGGCTAAGGTGGAAGGATCGCCTGAGTCCAGGATTTTGAGGCTGCTGTGAGCCGTGATTGTGCCAGTGCACTCCGTCCTGGGCTACAGAGACCCAAACTCAAAAAAAAAAAACCAAAAAAACTCTCAAGCTTAAGATTTCTCTTCTGACGATAAGCTACGTTTTTATAGTGTATTTGGCCAATTTTATTGAGAATAGATTGTTCTAATTCCATCAAGAATAATTTTAATGTCTAAATGTACTGTTGTCCAAATCAGAGTTATTATAGTCCTTTCTGTAATCGGTAATGTAATCTATAAAGCAGATAAGGACTGAGGAATATGGCTGAAAGGAATTACTAGTTAAGTAAGCAGACAAGATCATCTCTTAAGGTGACATTTGGTTTTAGTAATTTGGCTATTCTGTTTCACTCTCATCATCTTCTAAATGAAAATAATAGTTTCATCCCTGCCTAGAAGCATCAGTAGTACTAAGGGAAAAGTAGAAAACGACCTTGAAGTCTATTATTCTGCCAGATAGTTTTAATGTCCTTACTCCTAACGTTTTGACTAAATAGAACTAGGTCTTATTAAAAGTAACTGCCAACCGGGCTCAGTGGCTCAGCCTGTAATCCTGCGCTTTGGGAGGCTGAGGTGAGTGGATTACCTGAGCCCACGGGTTCGAGACCCGCCTGGGCAACTTGATGAGACCTCATCTCTACAATAAATCAAAAAATTAGCCCGGCGTGGTAGTGCATGCCTGTAGTTCCAGCTACTTGGAAGGCTGAGGCGGAAGGATCGCGGGAACCCAACAGGTCGAGGCTGCGGTGGCCGGGAGCAACCACTGCACTCCAGTCTGGGCAACAGAGTGAGACTCCAACTCAAAAAAAAAAAGTAACTGCCTCTTGTTTATGTTATCTGCCTTCAGTACATTCAGGGACATGCCTTTCTTCAAGTATTTCCTAGACTATCTGTTGTGATACTGGAGAAGCTAATTCTTTTTTATTTTTATTTTATTTTATTTTTATTTTATTTTATTTTATTTTATTTTATTTTATTTTGAGTTAGAGTCTCACTCTGTCGCCCAGGCTGGAGTGCAGTGGCCGCTCCCGGCCACCGCAGCCTTGACCTGCTGGGCTCCAGCGATCCTTCCGCCTCAGCCTTCCAAGTAGCTGGAACTACAGGTGCATACTACCACGCCCAGCTAATTTTGGATTTATTGTAGAGACGAGGTCTTGCCAAGTTGCCCAGGCTGGTTTCAAATCTGCAGGCCCAGACAGTCCACTCACTTCAGCCTCCCAAAGTGCTGGGATTACAGGCTGAGCCACCGAGCCTGGCCACACATTTACGTTTTTAAAGAGATTCCTACTCCATACCTTTTTCAATAATTGCTGCTAATTACATTTTTGAATCATAGCTGGTTAAATTGATAGATTCCAGTTTATCTCAGTGAATTTTTAGAATGGAGATTATTGCATTTTTAAATTGGGGAACAGACATTTCCTAAAGTATATGCAAAAAATTGTTCACTGTTGGCTTAGTTGAACCAGTATCTTTGTATGAGTGCCAAAGATGTATGAATTTAGATATTGCATAGATCTAAATTTTAGTTTTGTGTGCCTGTATCCATATACAAATGTATTGTGGTTTACAACATAAAATCGGAACATCATTTTTTTTTTTTTTTTTTTTTTAAGTTGGAGTCTCATTCTGTTGTCCAGACTGGAGTGCAGTAGCACACTCATGGCTACTGCAGCCTCAACCTGATGGGCTCAGGCAATCCTTCCACTTGAGCCTTCCAAGTAACTGCAACTACAGGTGCATGCTACAATGCCTGGCTAGTTTTTTGATTTATTGTAGAGACGAGGTCCTCCAAGTTGTCAAGACTGGTCTCGAACCCCTGGGCTCAGGCAATCCTCTCGCCTCGACCTCCCAAAGTGCTGGGATTAAAGACGAGACATCGTGCCTAACCTGTTTCTTTTCCTCAGTTTTCAACTGTCTCATACTTTTCTATAGTGCTTTCCAGCACATAAACTACTCGTAAATCATTAAAATAGGGTGATATCTCAGATTATAATGTTTCTTGCCTTCTGGAAAATGATTTCATTAACCACATCCAAAACCTAGCATTTTCACAAGTTCCATCATTAAAAACATTATACTTCTATACTTCTAGTTAACATGATTTGGGAGTTTCAGGGAAAGGTTTATATTTTCTGAAACTCTGCATTTGGTATGTGACTCAGTATGGTATTTGAATCTTGTTAGTCACTTTCATGACTGAAGTTTACAAGGATTTATTGCCAAGTAAAATTTGACCAGAGTACACTGAAAATAGCTTATATAAAGGGAACTCTCTCAAATTTCCTTCTAATTATTTTATTTAGCATTTATTGGTTGGGCTTGGTGGCTCAGCCTATAATATCAGCACTTTAGGAGGCCGAGGAGAGCGGATTGCCTGAGCCCATGGGTTCAAGACCAGCTTGAGCAACTTGGCGAGATCTCATCTCTAAAATAAATTAAGAAATTAACCGGGTGCAGTAGCGCGCGCCTGTAGTTCCAACTACTTGGAAGGCTGAGGCGGAAGAATCGTCGGAGCCCAGCAGGTTGACGTTGGGGTGGCCTTGAGTGTGCCATGGCACTCCAGCCTGGGCAATGGAGTGAGACTCCGACTCAAAGAAAAAAATATATATATTGTTGGGTTATCTTAAACATATGTAAAAAGTTGGTGAAAAAAAGCATCACAAAACTTCCTGAAATCATGAATAAATAGAGATTAGTACGTTTATATTTCTTAATGCAAAATTAATAGGGAATAAAGAGTAGCCTATACTAATATAAAAACCAGAGATTTTGCTATAAATTTAAATGTCTAGAAAAACAGTGTACTTCAGTCTAATTTATCAAAGCTACATATTGATGCTTCTGGTCATTTCCATATTGTCCTTTTGAAATTCAAGGTAATGCTTTTTAACCAATAAAAGAAGAAGAGTGAGCTTTTGGAATATGTGATTGTGCTTTGTGTAAAGTGATTAGGATTTTGTTAAACCCATATTTCCTCTTTTGAACCTTGTTTAAGCATCACCCCCACTCCACACCCAGATTTTAAAAATTCCCCTATGAAAGGAAAGGAATCACAGAGTCTATTGATGATACAGTTCTGAACCAATTAATTTTTGTCCTTATAATTTAGAACACTCAGTAGCTAATATATTTAATGCCACTGATTGTTGTTTGGCACTTTGATCACACTTTTAAATAGAATCCAAAGTAAAAGGAAAGTAAGTGAAGTTATCCAAAGCTAACTTTGTTTCAGGTATGTCCCTCACCCCAAATAGAGTTTAGAACAGAAATAGGCAAGTGATTTTATGCAGAATTATTTTTGGAAAAGCTACTCTGGAGTACATGGATTCTTCTTCAGCATGCATTTTAAATAGGGGCTTAGATTAATTTTTTTTTTTTTTTTGAGTTGGAGTCTCACGCTGTCGCCCAGACTGGAGTGCAGTGGCTGCTCCCGGCCACCGCAGCCTCGACCTGCTGGGCTCCGGCGATCCTTCCTCCTCAGCCTTCCGAGTAGCTGGAATTACAGGCACGCGCTACCACGCCCGGCTGATTTTTTGATTTATTGTAGAGATGAGGTCTCACTGCCCAGGCGGGTCTCGAACCCACGGGCTCAGGCAATCCACTCACCTCAGCCTCCCAAAGGCGCGGGATTACAGGCTGAGCCACTGAGCCCGGCTGAATTTTAGTTTTAAATATTTTGGGGTAAAAGCAGTGACAATTTTGTTTTTGACATTTCTTCAGAATTGTTTTCCTTATCAAGTATAAAGAGTCAAGTCATAATGGCCAACTTCACACAAGTTTCCGCATGGCCTGGTGTTGCTCCTAACCTGAACTCATAATCAATTGCTGGACTAAGGCAAGAGCACTCAGGGTGAATGTAGTCAAGTTACTTCAGAGTGG